TAGGGCAAGGTAGAATGACCCTGTGAGTTTTCCAGACAGTAAACAGTAGAAAGGGAGTAGAAAACCCTGTTTCTCCCGCAGAAATCTGGTGGTTTTGAATTGCGGACTTTGCAAATCATAACCCAACACTTAATCACAACTCCACCAGGGCTCCCTCTATGGCAGTGGTTCTCAACCTGTGGGTCGCGACCCCTTTGGGGGTCGTCTAAGACCATTGGGAAACACATTATTTCCCCCAGCGTGAAGACTGTTACCCATGCTACACCATGCTTCAAGACAAAATTGCATTTATTTGTCATTAGAAATAAATATTTCACAATATATAATTATACTGTATATTGTTTGGTGATTAATCACTATGCTTTCATTATGTTCAGTTTGTACCAATGAAAATATATCCTGCATATCAGATATTTACACTACAATTCATAACAGTAGCAAAATTAGTTATGAAGTAGCAACGAAAATAATCTTATAGTTGGGAATCACAACATGAGAAACTGTATTACAGGATCGCGGCATTAGGAAGGTTGAGAACAACTGCTCTATGTGGATAGGCACTCTTATCTTTCTCTCCAGGCACTGCTGATGGATCTGAACCCCTGATCTTGTGGTTAGCAACCTAATCCACAGTGTAGCTGCTGATTAAACCATGCCTAATACCCCAAACTTCTATACTATCCTTGGGTGTCTGAGAGGAGGATATTCAGAATGCTGTCCATAGACTATGCTAATCTACTGAATCAGATTCTACGTTTTAATAACATTCCCCAGGTAATTTGTATGCACATTACATTTGAGAGTTGCAATATTAAAAATTATATAGGCAAAATATTTAACAATACAGGAAGCATCAAAAGAAGATGGAAAGAAGACACAGAATCACTGTACCAAAAAGAACTAGTCGACATGAAACCATTTCAAAAGGTAGCATATTATCAAGAACCAGCGGTACTTGCAGAAGAGATTACGCTGCACTGAGACATTGGCTAAAAGCAAGGCTCCAGGATGTGAGGAACACCAAGTGAAATATTTCCACTAGTTGATGCATCTCGGGGGGCACTAACTCCTCTATGCCAGGGAATGCCAAAGACTTGGCCAACTAACTGCAAGATACCCACCTTTGAAACCCATTTCAAAGAAAGATGACCCAACAGAATGCTCAAATTATACAATAATATCATTGATATCACATGCAAGTAAAATTTTGCTAATGACCACTCAACAATGGCTACAGCAGTATATTGACAGGAAGCTTCCAGAAATTAAAGTCAAATTCATACAAAGACATGAAACACAGGTTATCACAACTGACGTCAGATGGGTTTTGCAGAGTACCAGAAAAAACGTTGACTTGTGTTTTATTAACTATGCAAAGGCATCTTTGTGAATTATGATAAACTACAGATAGCATTGAGAAGAATGAGAATTCTTGAACACCTCATGGTGCTCATGTAGAACTTGTGCATGGATCAAGTGGCAATTGTTCAAACCGAACAGGGAATAGTGCTTGGTTTAAAATCAGGAAAGGTGTGCATCAGGGTTGTGTCCTCTCACCATCTCTATTCAATATGGACATTGAGAAGGTGATCTGAGAAGCTGGACTGTATTAGGAAACGTATGGCATGAGGATTAGAGGAAGAGTTATTGACAAGCTTCGATGTACACAACCCAATCATGCTGAAAGTGAGTACAATCCAAAGCACTTCGTGATGAAGATCAAAGATTGCAGCCTTCAATAGGGATCACAACTCAGTGTAAAGAAAATGGAAATCCTCACAACAGGGCCCATTGGTAACATCGTGATAAACATAAAAAAGATTCAAATTGTCAAGAATTTCATCCTGCTTGGATCCACAATCAATGCTCATGGAAGCAGCAGTAAAGAAATCAAATAACACATTGCATTGGATAAATCTGGTGCATCAGACCTTTTTAAGAAGTTGAAAAGCCGGGGTTGGCCCCAACCCCAATACGTGGACACTCTCCCCTTCCCCCAGAAGATTGCACATCAGAGGACAGCACTGAAGCTACAGCTCAGGGAAAGGGGCACGTCTGATCAGAACACACAGGAGCAAACGAAGAGGGAAGGAGAGAGAGTAGAACACATCCTGGCCCACCAAGCGCCAAAGACAATATTCCTGAGCAGCCAGTGCTCAGAGAGGACCACAAGGCTGGCCCCACCATGAGACACCACATCCCTCACTGACCCATAGTGCTATGAGGACAACACTGGAGACACCGTGCAGGATTGTGCCCAATCTGACCCCATCACACTTCAGGAAACACTAAGGGCCTGCAGCAGAACGGCAAGGGGAGCAAAGCAATGACGTCCCCGCAAAATACCAAAAATAGACTTCGGGGGCAGAGCATGGCACCCCATCAGACTCCACCAGAAAACATTCCCAAAGGTCAACAAACAGACCTGGAACTTTTTATAGGCTTTTCTTGTTTTGCCATTGGTTTAGTGTTTGTTTTGTTTTGCTCTGTCTTGTTTTTGTGCTTATTATTGTCTCTGCATGTCTATCTGGATAACATAAACAACCCGGAGGAGAAAGCAGCAGGACTGAAGGTTCTGGGGGACACGTGAGAAGGGAGGCAAGGGAAAGGAAGGGGGTGTCAACCAAACCAGGGACAAGAAAACAAGTTTGGTAAAGTGGAGAGGCAGTGAAAAAGAAGAAGACCTTTAACAAGATGGATTGACACAATGGCTGCCACGAGGGGCTCAGGCACCGAAACCATTGTGAGGATGGGGCAGGACCACGCAGTGTTTTCTTTGGTTATGCGTAGCATCGCTGTGAGTCAGAGCATACACTTGGGCACCTAACAATAAGGACATAATAGAATGACCCACTTAACTACATCCAAAAAAAATCTATACGATACTGACGGGTGTTCCCTGCCCTTTGTAAACATTGCAGTCTATTCCAGAACCTCCTTCTTGAACTCCTTCCACCCAGATCTTATCTGATGCTGGTTCATCCTCCTAGCATGTTGGATCAAAATATCCTCACCTTCTTGTTCTAGCCCCCAGGATCAGCCATCACCTTGATTGTTCAGATCCTAACACTGGCTAGAGAGAGGAGATAGAGAAAGTAAACTGATGAGGCATTAAAGGCAATTTAAAGGTGAGAGAGCGTGCAGGTGTATTTAGAGGGCAGATAGGTGTACTCAGAGCTCCGGTCTACCAGAATTCTCCTCCAGTGGCCATGCTGACTTAGTAATATCTCCATGATAAGATCTTCATAAACACGTGCCAAACAACATTGTGAGAATCAGGATCCCCCCATGCTTTTTTGGGTCCTGTACTCTGGGGTTCTTGAAGAGAAAACTTTACTGAAGTCCATAAAGAAAAGTTTCCGTACAGGCTTGTT